TACTAGTAACAAGAAGCTACTAGTAGCAAGAAGCTACTAGGTGGAGGGCATTGCTATTAGGTTGGAGGCCATTACTACTAGTAACAAGAAGCTACTAGTAGCAATGTGCTTGTATGATCTCTTAGACCTTGAAATTGTCACCCTTTGGATACCCAATGCGACGAGGTTCCCGGAGGCTGTGCTGGGGCGCATTAGCGAGCTTTTGTCACTGGGCGAAGAGTCGAGCTTTGGGGGGTGTCTGGCTCCTGTGTGGACCCGCAGGTCCTGAATATGTTGGAAAATGCTCCACTATGTGGATGTCTTTAAGACCTTGTTTGGTCATTTTCCAGCTTCGATTGAAGGAAGATCGCAAAGGACAGACGTGAATAGATCACCGTCGTTAGTATGGGCGACAACAACGGTTTCTCCAGCTGGGCCCACCTAGGAAAGTATCGTAGGCTTCCTGCGGTTTCCTCACATGTGCTGAAGAAGGTGAGTCAGGGTGGCCTGTTGGAAGCATGCCCGGAAAAAAAAATCCACCAAAGGCAGCTGCGGGAATGATGAAAAAAACATAGGAATCTGAATTTAGACTTATACACACACACATATATGTTAATATAGAGAGAAAACAATCCAGTCAAGAATCATATGCAACTGGAAATCATCCTTGCAGAGGGCCTTCCTTGCAACATTTCTGCCGTATCTCCCCTCCGACCTAAGCAAACAATTGGTGCTGACGGGCATAACGCCTGCATCAACCGCAAGGTTAACAAATATCTCCCATTTGCAGTAAAATGCCACAAAGAGAGAAGGCAGTGAACACAGTGAACATATAAATCAAATTAAATCAATCAATCCATCAGATCCACAGATTCATCGTCTCACTGTCGACGGAGACCTCATGAGGCTCCCCACGCAGAAGCGCTTCGACCTGCCGCTGCAGATGTCCGGAGCCAAGGTTGGTGAAGCCGAGGCTCCCAGGGTGATGGAAGCTCCCAAGATTGCTGAAGCCGAAAAGCAAGGATGACACGATCGAAGCGATCGATCAATCATAAAGGGGCCTTGATTCTAGTTCCATCAACTCTCCTGTATCAGGAAAGCCCGTGTGTGATGTTTCTTGGTGCAGCCCCAGTTTATTTTTGTACATCATGCCAACAAACTCCGGTTTTGCTGGCTTCTGTGAAGAACCACCAAATCACTATGACTTCTCCGCCAGAAGACTCGATTACTCTTGCGAACTTGGTTCTTTTGCCCTCCACGCCGGTTTATGCCTGCACTCAGGGCGTTGGGCGCCATGGCCGAGGCGCGTGGCCGAGCATGAGAATCATGGGCATGGTGAATCGTCTGCTTGGGATGCGTTTTCACTTCCTCTGAAACCTTAGCAAGAATCTGAGCTAGCTAGTTGGAGCCGTGCACTGATGTCAACATCAGAAAAAGCTGAGGACACCGGCAACATACTTCTTTCCACCTCCCAACTAGTAGATCCACTTGGAGGTCTCATTTGAACCTTTTGGTCCTCCCATTTGGTGAAGAAAATAGGATGGCCGGGGAGAACGGCGAGGTGACTTGGTGACTGTTCAAATGATTTCATGTGGCTTCAGGTGCATCCTATTTGAGCCATGTGCATACGTCACGGATGGGACATAAATATCTATGCTGTGAAAAAGTTGTTTGCCCTCAGTGAATTGGGGAAACACACAGGAGCAAGGACGCTACTAGGGGCTCCTGGCATCGCTACTAGGAGCAAGAAGCTACTAGGGGCTCCTGGCCTTACCTTCATGGCTCCGTGGCGCCTTCATATGAGAATGAGGTCTTCGGTGAAACCATGCCAGGCCTTTGTGGTGAAGGACTCGGTGGCTGCCCGTCAATGTGTGACCCACCTCAAGGACTCGGTTGCAAACTAATGTGAAGACCGTCGGACAGGAAAACACTCGGACATGGCAGAGAGATGGAGCTCTTGTTCAAGCCAGGTGCTTTGTTGCCTCATGTTGCTTCATGTTGCCTCTTTGTTGGCACATGTTGCCTCTTTGGCTTGAGCGCCCTGACGAACCTTTTGTGGGGACATGCCGCCTGGATCGGCTGGTTGACATCCAGGATGGCCGCATCTCCTCTGAGACGTTTTTAGCTTTGGACCGGCTGGAGGATCCCAAGGCGTGAGAGTGAAGGGGGCGGCCCTGAGAGAGCGGACTGATTGGGTGATGGGCAGTGGTGGGTGATGCTTAGCATTTTAGACATCTTGTTTTCATGTGGGGTTGGTGGCTTTTGGGATTTTCGCGATGCCTTCTGGGAATTCAGACCTCAGAGGATAAGAATCTCTCGAACCTGCTCACGTTTTTTTGTTTATTAATTTTCCTTTGGTTGGCCATGACTATGTGAGTCTGAATGTCTCCAAACCAGCTTGGCATGAAAACTGTTTTCTTCGTTTCCTATAGGGTGGTGATCCGAGCAGGAGGCCTGAAGACGCCTGAAGTGAGTCGAACTGCAGCGATGTCGGATGAGGGACAAACCACAGATTCTAAGATGACGATCACTGACCCTCAGTAACACTAGGAAGTTGTGTCCGCAACATTAGGATGAATTGCAACCACCTAATTTGGCTTCACTTGAGTAAAAGGGACGATGACAATTTTGTTGGTCAACGACTACGACCACATGGATTATACCTGGCATTTTCAGCCAGTGCTCAGGTGGGCGACATGAGCGCCTTGACCTCGGGCAAGGCGGGTCGACGCCTTGCCACGTGCGGGCGCCTGGTCTGTTGCTGTCTGGGAGATATTCTCCGTTTGGCATTGGGGTCAAAACCCAAGACTGACGAGGGTCTAGATGACGGGACAGCGGGACAGTGACTTTATCCTGCAACCAATTGGTTATACATGATTATACAGAATTCATTTGGGAACCTTCATGAAGGTCTTAAGAGTGGGCAGTGTGTGCCATTAGTCTTCATTGCTATTTGCAGTCCATTTGGTTCAGCTGCCCCAATGTGCCAAAAGGGCTGAACCTTCCAGGGATGTTTAGAGAACCCAAAGGAGTCTAAGGAAACCCTAGAGGCAGGAAAATCATCTTGAAAGCCAGTCCCACGCAACAGATGTTTTCCGGACCCTCGGTTCAACATGTCCCAGTTATATAGGTTCCTCAAAGAAGCGTGTCGCAGTTTAGGCTTAGCAGCCCCTGCGTGCGTCACCATCGTTCCGATGACAGCCCACAGCCCGTCTGCATTTGGTGGGGACATATCCCATATCCCACTGTCCCATCAGAATCATCCGGAGGCACTGGACGACGACACCAATGACGTATTCGGCGTCTGTTGGGACGACGACCGGCTGCGAATCCGTAGATCTTCTTGATGTCGGCCGGCGCCTTGCGCATTCTCAGGCAGTGTGTCCAGCACAACGACAAGTTCCTTCAGCGGCAGGACTACTGGCGTGAGACTGCGCCAGCAGCGATCGACAGGACTGGAGCAATTGAGATGTTGCCACCTAGTCGCGTCCTTGCTCCTAGTAGCGATGCCAGGAGCCCCTAGTAGCGAACATTGTTCCTATACCACACAGTGCAGACGATGTTGTCTTCAATTCACCCGTTGTCACCCGTTTCTGCAACTCGCTTCGTCGTCAGGAACTCCACCGACTGGTTGGAGGGGGAATTCTTTTGGGGGGGACCGGGTGGGAGCTGATGGTTTTCTGGCGGGACTCAGACCACTCCACTGACTGGTTCCAAGGATTTCTGAATTTCGGATAGTCTGGATTCCCTTGCCGGTTCCTAAGCCAACCTACAATTCCTCTGGAGTTGGGTGGTACTTGGCTGCCATATCGAGGACCGTGAACTTTCTGCTCCGCGGCGTGATCATTGCCGACACACTGGAGGAGGCGGGACACATGAGCTTGGCTCTTTCCATGTGCTTTGTCCTCTTGTTGGTTATCTCACTGATGAAATAGAGTGCTGCTGCCTTATTTGTTCCTCTAATTCTTCTGCAGAGTGCTTACGTAGCATGCAGCATGCAAGTTGCGAAGATGGCTGCAGTGTATAGTCAGGCAAATGCGCAAAACATCCTGGCAATAGTTCCCGAAAGCATTGCGAAGGGTTCTTCCGGAAAATCCTTTGAACACTGACACTTCGACACTTACACTTACACATTGACACTTTCACCACACTTGCACGACAACATGAACGCTATACGTAGCCCTGTGTAAGTGGAAGAGCGAAAGCAGTCAAGTGCAAAGTA